CTGGAGCTGAAGTTCTCTCTGCGTGATGTTCTAAGAAGATGAAGTAAAATAGGAAAGTGGGAGTCTTCCTTTCCTTCTGCTGCCTGTTAACATACCATATGCTCAAATCCCTTTTTATTCATCTCGATCCAAATCTGGGTTTCAATTGACCTTTTTCTGTCTAGCGTTTGAGTACCAACCCTTCTGCATCTTAGTCTCCTTTGCTTCTCCTTAATGGTACAGGTTAGTCGGAAAATTTCCATCACCTTCCAACTTCCACGCAGGTGCTTGGAAAATCTGAGTTTATCTGAGTAACTACTCCCTCAAAGTCCGCTTTGTCCTTCCCCTCCAAGACACTCCCAGGCCCAGGGCTGGGCGCAACTGGCATTTTCAACAAGTGAATCCATACAGCAAGAATCCCAAGTTTAGAAGTTCCTTATTATTTCGTCTTTCTGTGATCATATACTTCACTTTGACATATGTTGACTTGTGATATATTATTTTTTTGGAACTAGGATTAAACCCAGGGGTGGGTGCTTAACCCCTGAGCCACATCCCCATCCCTCAGCTTCTCACTGAGTTGCTTAGAGCTGGCTTTGAACTCATGTCTCCGAAGTTGCCCAGGCTGGCTTTGAACTCGTGATCCTCCTACCTCATCCTCCAAAGCTGCTGGGATTATAGGCGTGCACCACCTCGCCCAACATGAATATATTCTTATTACTTGACTCTTGCATTGATGTAATTTTTTTTCATGTGTATGAAAGTCATCCTATAATTTAGTTTGTTCTCCTTGCAGGAAGGAGTCAAATTGTATCTTCCATAGCTTGAGTCCTAGGCACAACTAGATGCTTGATAAATATTTAACTCACAAATAAATGAAGAAGCAATATTTTGAGTCATTTGAAGAGATATTTTTTGGGGGCGCTAAAGTATTGATAATTCATAGATTTCTGGGTACAAGCTCTTTTAAGGTCCCACTTTGTTATAGCTTACACATTTAATTCCGTTACTTGTTACGAAAGCAGGAAGTTTAGTGATTAGAATATAAATTTGGGTGGGGGGGTCCTGGGGATTGAACTCAGGGGCACTCAACCACTGGGCCACATCCCCAGCCCTATTTTGTATTTTATTTAGAGACACGGTCTCCCTGAGTTGCTTAGCGCCTCATCATAGCTGAGGCTGGCTTTGAACTCATGATCCTCCTGCCACAGCTTCCTGAGCCGCTATGATTACAGGCGTGTGTCAAGATGCCTGGCTAGAACATGGATTTTTTTTTGTTCAGATATATACAACTTTGTTTGGGTATCAGCAGTATCCCTGATGAGCTGTGAGACCTAAGGTGGGTCGTTTAACCTCTTTGAGCCACAAAAATTTCCTCATTTGTCAAGTGGAGACTAAGAGTTCCATCTTGGAGAGTTGTTGTTGGGTGGCTTCAATGAGATGATGGACATAAAGCACGGAGTGCAAGGTGAACTACACAGGAACAGCTAACTGATACTTGCCTGTTTCCTGCCACTCATCGTCATCCTATTCCCTGGGGTGATGGAGGTGGGAAAGGTCACAGCCTGGTGGAGTCAAGAGCCACCCAAGAGAACAAATGCCCATGATGTACCATGGGCTGCAGGGCTGTGGGTGATGGAACAATTAATTTTGCCTGGATAAGGCTGCTGCAAGGTGGTGGCCACTGAGCTGCAGATTGGGCAGAGGGCTCGGTGGCTGGCTTAGAGTTGTCCTGCGGGGTCTGCTTGGGGAATGGATCATGCAAATGGCTTCTAAGCCCTGAGGTGTTGTCCAGCGGCATCTGTGTATGCACGGTGTCTTGTGCTATCCGTTTTTTCTCTTATACACATTCTCATGTGCCTATACGGCCTTTGTCTGATTCCATCACAGTTTGCGTGGGATTCCCTAATCAAATAGTATCTCATATTTTCTTCTTATAAACAGACTCTAAGCCAGGTGCAATGACGTATGCCTGCAATCCCAGCAGCTTAGGAGGCTGAGGCAGGAGGATCGTGAGTTCAAAGCCAGCCTCAGCAACTTAGCGAGACCCTAAGCAGTTTAGGGAGAACCTGTCTCTAAATAAAATGTGAAACAGGGCTGGGGACGTGTTTCAGTGGCTAAGCGCCCATGGGTTCAATCCCTGGTGCTCCCCCCCGCCAAAAAAGATAAACTCTAAGTCTTTGGAGGCAAGAAATGTGTCTTTGTTCACACAAACAGTACCAAACACATAGTGGGTCATGTTTGATGAGTGAATGAATAAAAGAACAAGTGAATGAATACCTCTGATGGCTAGCTCCACCATGTGCTGGCTATGAGATCATCATCCCTCTCTGCATTTCCGTGCTTCTGTCTGTAAAGTGGGTTTAGTAACAAGTGCACATTAGACAGTGGTCCCTGTAGGCACCATTCAGGTCTGGCTGATGTGCTGTTGCATTTGGGAGATATCTGCAGACTTGGGCAGGATGAAGCCTAGGCATTCTGCTTCAGTGGCTGATAGGAGAAGGCTTCAGAACTCTGCCAAGGCTGGGTTGGGACTTGTCTGATGATAAGGAATTCCTCTCTCTCTTATCTGCCACCCAGAAAGGAGAGTGCACCTGGGAAGGATCCCTGGCCTCCCACCTGTCTCAGGGGAGTCACTGATTCAGGGAGAGCTGGAGGTGAATTCCCCATCTCCTCCTGCCTCCTTGGCTATGCTGTGAAACTGGAGCTAATTAAAACTTCTTTCTTGTCATCCACTGGGTGAAGAAGAGTCACCCAGAATATGATTCATCCCTGGAGATCACCTAAGTATGTCTAAATAATAAAACTGTGACAGGGAAAAACCTCATCTGGATAAAGAAATTCCAGGCCCTGGGAGTCCTGGGGGTAGGGAGAGTCCACAGACTGTGAGTTACAAGAAAGAATGAACTGCCCTGTGCTGTGGCGCATGCCTGTAATCCCAGCAGCTCTGGAGGCTGAGGCAGGAGGATCATGAGTTCATTGCCAGCCTCAGCAACTTATGGAGGCCCTAAGCAGCTTTCAGGCTGGGACCTCCCGGAAAGTCATTTGTTAATTTAATTCCTTTATTCATTTATTCACCTGATGAATATTCCCAGAGCCCACATGTTTTGGTCAGATTTTTTTTGCTGCTGTGACCAAAACACCTGACAAGAACAATTAACAAGGAGAAAATGTTTATTTGGCACTCATGGTTTGAGAGGTCTCAATCCATAGATAGCTGCTCCATTTCTCTGAGTCCGAAGTGAGGCAGAACATCATGGTGGAAGGTTGTGGTGGAGGAAAGCAGCTCAGAACAAGACAATCAGGAAGCAAAGAAAGAGGTCTGCTCACCAGCAACAAAATATGGCTCCTTCAGCCATACCCTACCTGTGGAACCCAGTTAATCCACATCAGTGGATTAATGCACTGATTAGGTTAAGGCTCTCATAACCCAATCATTTCCCCTCTAAACTTACTTTCATTGACTCACTCATGAACTTTTGGGGGAATGCCTCATGTCTAAACCATAATGCCACAACTGCAGGACCAATACGTGGCCCACGGAGAAGAAAGGGCAGCTCAGTTTTATTTCTCCTTGTCTCTCTGTGGCAGATAAACTGGCTTGGAAAGGTGCAAGTTTAGCAGTGAGGAGAGATAAAACCAAGAGGGAGGAGTAAGGAAGCAGACTTTGAGGAATAAATTATCATGGGGACTGGGAATTGAAACTTGAGGTGTGAGTGAAGAGGCTCCAGCCCAAACCAGATAGATTGGCCCAAAGCCAGCATAAATTTCAGAAGCCCTGATAGAGTGAGCTTTCTTTCAGGCATGGGTGTTCGTTCACCAGTGGCCTCGGAGATGCCCCTCTGCTGTGTCTCTGAGGCTTCCTGCCCATGGCACATTCTTAATGGAATATGCTTAACTCAGCCAGGATATACCCCACCTGTCTGGAGGGCTTGGAGGGCACAGGTCTGGAAGGTTCCCTTGTGGTGGATTTAAGTGGTCAAGAGGCTCCCTCTCAAGTGGGAGGCAAGGCTCAGTGCAGCCAGAAGACCCAGATGAGGTCACACAGCAGGAGCTCACTACTCCTTGTTAACTGAATGAATGCTTTGATGAAAGAAACCCCACAGTGCAATGTGAGCCCAATATGGCCTTAGAGAAGACTTCCTGGTGGAAGTGACATTAAATTAAGATGTGTAAACAGAAAGGAGCAGCCAGACTGAGATGAGATTTAAATGTCCCTAAAAGAAAAGACCATAATGGGGATTTAACCAGTGGTTGTCTAAAGGCCTTTCCAGATGCTCCCCAGCTTTGGAGTCAGGCTGTCCTGGATTGGAATTCCCTGTTCTGTCCTTTCCAGGCAGAGCCCCTGGGCAAGCCCTCGCTGTCCGCGGGAGCCTGGGTTTCTTCTGAGAAAGGAAGCCAGTACCAGTGTCTGCTTCAGAGGATGACATAGGACAACTCAAGTAGCGTTACTCTTTTGGCCTGTGAACCCATATCAGTTCCGTTTCTTTCTCCTGGAGCCCTCTTTGGACAGAGATCCTGGCTGAGTCTCTTCGGTGAATGCAGCGCTCAGTAGCAACAGGTACATGGTAGATGTTCAATAAACTCGGCCCCTCGATTTCTGGCCTCACTTTGTGGAATCCTGCTTCCTGGGTTGCAATGCCTTCCGACTACACCCCGCCCCACTGTGCACCCTCTGGGAGAGTAATGTTCAGTTCTGACATCCAGAACATAGTAGGTGCTTGTGCAGCAACCCTGGCTTTAGGTCTTTGCAGAAAGGCTGTTGGGGTCTGGTTGTGCAGGATATCAACTTGTTCTCTGGGTTTAACGTTTTGAGCCGGGGTCGCGGAGAAGCCGGAGTTAACGCCCGGGAATCCCCTAGACCGAGCGCTGTTGGAGGCGGGGCCGGCTTTTCTGTCGGCGAACAAGGGCCGATGCGCTGCACCTTTAAGGAGTCGAGCCGGCAGGGGCGGGAGTGAGAGCGGCTCGGGAGCGTGCGCGGCGGGGCCGAGCTGAGCCGGGGTCTGGGGACCGAGGGCCGGGCCGGGCCGGGCGGGGCGGCGGGATCAGGCGGCTGAGGCCGGTCAGGTGAGCGGAGCGGAGTGTGTGTGTGTGTGTGGGGAGCACCCAGGAGAGGGCTGGGGGCGCCCCAGTGGCCCGTGACCTGCCCCCACTTTCCGAGTCCAGGCTGTCCCCTTCCTGCGACGCGCTGGGTGCAAATGGGTCCTGGATCCGCAGCTCCCTTTCTGGTCCGTTTTCCCGCGGTGGCATCTGCCCTCCTCCTTGGTGCTTGGAAGGGCCGGAGACTCCCGAACCCGGGTGCATCTCCATCACCAGGCTTCCCGGGCCGAGCTGCCACCCTCCCGAAGCCCGGGGACAGGGCGAGGTCGGGGTCGGTCCCGCACCCTCCGGCCACTCCGCCTCCCACCTCCCGCGCCCGCAGCAGCCCGGACACCCCAGTGCCTGGAAGGCTAGGGTCCTGCGCTCCAGTTTCCTCCCCTGCCTGGAGAAAGGTCACAGTCGCCCTCCCAGGCTACAGCAGGTTCCATGTCACTTCCCCCGCGTCGCCCCCGATGTCCATCCATACCCCCTGACATCGCTCTCCTTGAACACCTCTCCACTGCAGCCTGTCGGCAACCCTCACCCCCGCCCGCCCCAACTCCCTCGCCCTTGCGCCCTTGCCCCGGGCCCTCCCGGAGACCCACTCGCGGGGTGCTGGTCCACCCACCCCGGCAGCCCGGTGCCCGCCGGCATCCCTGACACCCCGCCTGCGCGGACCCGGGCTTCCCGGGTGCGGGTTTTGTAATGCCGGCTGCAGGGCAGAGCACGTGCAGGATTTTCGTCCCCAGCCTGCAGCCGCCTGGGGAGGCCAATTGACCGGGAGGCATGGGGAAGGAAGAGGGTGTCGGAGGAGCCAGAGGCTTGGCGTCCGGGGAACACATCTTTTGAACCTGTTTTGATGCCCTGGAAGCTGAGAAGAGGAAATAAGAGGAAGGTCCTGCCCAAGCAGAGACCTGGAGGCCAGCATTTGTGTCACCCTCTTACCTGCCCAGAAATCCCTCATGGCTGGCTGCACCTGCCTTGCCAGTTAAAAATAGTTTATAATTAGCGGGTGCAGTGGCCCAACCTGTCATCCCAGCGGCTCCAGAGGCTGAGGCAGGAGGATGCAAGCCAGCCTGGGCAACTTAGGGAGGCTACCTCACAGACACACACAAAAGAACTGGGCAGGTAACTCAGTGGTAGAGCACCCCTGAATTCAACCCCTGGTACCCACCCACCCCCCAAAAAAGGAAAATAAAAATTGCTATAATTAATAATAGCTAACATAGAATAAACAAGTACTGAGTGCCAGGTGGTAATCCCCTTTAAAAGATTATAGCCCTTACTCCCTTCAAGAGCCCCTTGAGGTGGGTGCCACTTTTAGGCCCACTTGACAGGGGAGGTATAGGAAGCTTCCAGAGGTGGTCTTTTCCTAGGACACAGTGAGTGACCTCAGTTCCCCACTGTGAACCACTAGACTTTTTACCCAGTATTAACTAATCAATCCTTCTCAACATTTTGCTCTTTATTATTCATTTATATTTTTTAGTTTTTTGGTACCAGGGATTGAACCCAGGGGTGCTTCATCGCTCCCAGCCCCCACTTTTTAAAAACTTTTTTTAGATTCTTTTTCTTTTTTTTGTAGTTGTAGATGCCTGTAATCTTTTAAAAGGGATTATTACCTGCACTCAGTACTTGTTTATTATATTATGTCTTTATTTTATTTATTTTTGTAGGTGGTGCTAAGGGTCGAACCCCGTGCCTCACACGTACTAGGTGAGCACTCTGCCACTGAGCCACAACTCCAGCCCCCTCAGCCCTTTTATGTATTTTTTTTCAATATTTATTTTTTTAGTTGTAGTTGGACACAATACCTTTATTCCATTCATTTATTTATTTTTTTATGTGGTACTCAGGATCGAACCCAGGGCCCCGTGCATGCTAGACGAGCACTCTACCGCTAAGACACAATCCCAGCCCCCTGTATTTTTTTTTTAAAGACAGGGTCTCCCTGGGTTGCTCAGGGCCTTGTCTTTGCTGAGGCTGGCTTTGAACTTGTGATCCTCCTGCTTCAGCCTCCTGTGCCAAGGCCCCCTGTTTGTTTGTTTATCTATTTATTTATTTATTTTGCATGCTGAGGATTGAACCCAGGGCTTTGTACGTTATCAGTATTTTTATAACATAGGAAACTAGAAATAATTTGTGTTCTTGGCACCAGTTTATTTTCAAAAATTAGGTTCTGGGGCTGGGGATGTAGCTGTGTGGTAGAGCACTTGCCTAGTCGGTTGAGGCCCTGGGTCTGATCCCCAGTACTACATAAATAAATAAATTAGTTAATTAGCTCATTTTTCAGACGACCAAGGGGTCTTCGATGCCCTCCTCCAGGACATCGAGGCCCAGAGAAGAGAAAGGACTTGCTTGAGGCCACACAACTGGAAAGTGCCAGGGCTGGAATGCAAACAGGTTCTGGGATGGTTCATGGGTTGCTTCCTGGGCACCCTCTGCTGCTCTGGTCCCTTTGCCTAGGCTCCTGGAGACCATTTCCTCCCTCCTGGCTTCCTCTGCTGAGGCCCAAGAGGGGAACACACTTCTCCACGGGCTGCCTTTGCCTAGGCCCTTCCAGAAATCTCTGCTGCTAACTCTTACTGCCCTCTAGGGTGTAGCTCGGCAGCTCTGTGGATCCCTCCAGGAACACTTCCCTGATTTCTCTTGTCCCCAACTAAAAGCTTTTCCTGCCTCCCACTCCCATGGTGGCACTTGGAAAGTTCTGCTGTGTGCATCTGTCTTGTCCCTTGGGTGCAGTTGTGTTGGCAGGATCAGAAATGCTCCCCAAGGCCCCTCTCTCCACCTACCTGGTCAAGCCCCAGGACAGAAAGAGGGTGAGAGAGAAGGGGCAGGGGGAGGACCACAGCAGGTGCAGTGGGTCCCAAAATAAAAATAGACCCAGGATTTATGAACCCTGCATCACCAACCCCCCTCAGTGAGTTTCAGTCTGATCTCAGGGAAAGTTATTTCGCCTGGCGTCTACCATTGTAACCTTGCATATTTGCTTTTGTTTATAACACAAAGGATTTCCACCACAAAATCAGGCAGGCTGCGCCCATATCTCCCTTTTACCACTTGCTATAGCTATGTGTCCCTGGACAAGTTACCTAACTTCTCTGAGCCTCAGCTTTTGGAAACAGGACCTACTTCAGAGGGTAGTGGTAATCCTTAGCTAAAATAATGCACAGGGCCTAGTGTGTGGTAGACACTCAATAAACACCAGCCAGCTATTATGAAGAGCAGCAGTAGTTGACCACTACTTTGAATCACAAGAACTCTGTTAAATCATTAATAAACGGCTCACATCGACCCTACTTAGGAGGCAGGCAGGGGAGTTCAGGCCAAGCAGAAGTAATCATATTTTGTATTCACTAAGGCCATGGGCAAGCTGCTGGATGATGGAGTTAAGTTCCTTTTTTTTTTTGTACCAGGGATTGAACTCAGGGGCACTTAACCACTGAGCCACATTCCCCAGCCCTTTTTTATGTTTTATTTAGAGACAGGGTCTCACTGAGTTGCTTAGGGCCTTGCTAAGTTGCTGAGGCTGGCTTTGAATTCATAATCCTCCTGCCTCAGCCTCCTGAGGCCCAAAGATCAGAATTTTGTGAAAGCTCTCCCCGGGGGATTCAAATGGGTTGAGAAGAACTGCCTTAAGACAGTGAACTTAAACAAAAATCCTTGTGGACTGTAAGACGGTGTTTTGGGGTAGATGGTATGAGTGGTTACAATGTCTGTCACATTTATCACAGTGATGAGACCAGGTCAGAGTGGAGCAATTTTGTTTCCTCTAAAAGAATTAGTGGCTGGAAGTCTGGAGACTTTTGTTTGTTTGTTTGTTTTTGGTACCAGGGATTGAACCCAGGGGCGCTTAAACACTGAGCCACATCCCCAGCCCTATTATATTTATTTAGAGACAGGGTCTTGCTGAGTTGCTTAGGGCCTCACTAAGTTGCTGAGGCTGGCTTTGAACTCAAAATCCTCCTGCCTCAGCCTCCCGAGCTGCTGGGATTACAGGCATGCACTACCGTGCCTGCTGGAGACATTTTTGATTATCATAACTTGTGGATAGCATCAGTGGCCAGTTATGCTGCTGAATGTCCTACAATGCACAGGAAAGCCCCACAACAATTACTGGCCCCCATGGTCAGTTGTGCCAAATAGAGAAACCTGTGTCACGCGTGTTTTCCACAGCATTCTTTCTGACCTTGAATGTAGATGAAGATGTTTCCCCAGATCAATCCCTGAGAAGCCCTCTGGACCAGTCCAACCTTCCCCGTCCCAGAGCCCAGGTGGCCATCGCCGCCTGTGGCTGAATGCACTGGGTCTGTCCTGGGCTCCACTGGTACTCTGGAGCTGTGCCCAGCAAACTGCTGACTCAGGGGAGCAGACGGCTCCGGAGGGTGCGGGCCAAGGTCCTGACGCTGCTGCGGGCTGGGATCCTCATCTTAAGTCATCACCTAAAGTAATAGCAGCCTTTATCTGAGGCAGTTTCCAGAAGCTTTGGCTGTTTGACTGTTGGCATGGAATGATGTACCCAGACTTGGATGCCAGCCCTGGGTATAGTGACATCTGGGGACTGCGTTTGATAGGTGAGACTCCTGATTATAGAGACAGTGGCACAGATGCTGCCCACAGAGCTCTCAAGCATCTGGACAGTTCCTGAGCAGTGTAGGGCAGGGGACTGCGGTGTGACAGGGCTGCCTGACTCCCATGAGGGCAGATGGGATCTCCCCAGCTGAGCAGGGAGCTCAGAATGTGCCAGTCACCACTCTGAACTGGTTCCTTGTACCATCTCCTCGTCTCATTTTGTCCCCATACTGATGTTCCAAGAGGTTCAAGGTCCCATGGCTGGTCTGTGGCACAGCAGAGATTGAACCCAGGTTATTGAAGTACAAAACTGAATCTTCCGAGAAGCATTTGCAGATGGTAGTGCCACGTTAACAGCCAGGACTGGCAGATGCGCAGAGCTTGCTAGGTGAGAGGGAATTCTGTGTGCCTGGAGA